GCCATCTTGGTCCCTGGTCTTGGGGGCTCAGAAAGACCGTCCACACCATCTACGCCGGCCCCCTTCCCAGCTCATCCTCATCCATCGGGCCAGCTTCCAGCGAAACTGCCCCGCCCGGGGTGACCAGAGAACTCTTGGTGGCCTTAGAGAACGTGGTTACGATAAGCCCCCAACGGGCTGGGGGCGCGTCGCGAAGGGCCTTGAATGTCAGCCTGAGAAGTCGGCGCTCTCCTCCTTTCTTCCTGCAGTAACCAGAGCCGCGGAAGCAGACGGGAGGGGACCGCGGCTGGCCGGGCTTGGGGCATTGTCTTGGCAGCCGGGGATGGTGGGAGTCCAGCGGGGAGGCTACTGAGATAGGCCTGCGTGGGCACCATGGCTGCTGGGGGGAACGAATGAAGAAGCATTTATTAAGGGATCGCTCCAACACAAACTAAAACAGAGGATGCGCCTGCCCTCCAGGGGCTCACATTCTAATGGGGTAGGGGAGGACACCACACACGGGAGGTGTCCGCTACTGGTCAGATAGAGAGGTCCCGTGGTCCCTTGGGTACAGCTGCAGAGCAGATGGTCACGAGTCTTTCTTAGCATCATTTCCACTGATAAAATAATGTGCATTTCTGATACTGAACCATTTGTACCAAGGACTTTGGTGAGAGACATTTCGGGGTCTTCAGTAGCTGCTGGTGGGGAAGGGGGACTACAGAGGTACTTGCTGGGTTACATCTCTAGGTTACTCCCTCGATGGATGGCCAAGCCAAGCCAGCGACCTGAGGTGGGGGGAGGGGGAGCCACTATTCCAAGGCTCCTCGATTTACCGGCCTGTTGGCAGTGGGCATTTGGGGCTGACGTTGACGGGGATATTGAGCCCCCTCTCCATGAGGGTAGCAATGTGGCTGTAGAGGTTAGGATGGAAGCAGGGCTGGTGGTCCAGGGGTCGTGGTTATTCCTGGGGCTGTCGGATGCAGGGTCTTGGGTCTGACATCACTGGTCTTGCCTCAGGAAGCCTTGCAGTCTGAGACATTTCGCCAACACAACTACCAAGACTCTGTAACTGAATTTAAGGAGGGGGAGAGAAGAGAGGAGAACGACTCAAGCTGTGGTGCCTTTAACAGAAACCAGGTTGGAAAGAGAATGAGGTCTGGTCTAGACATCTGACACACCTATGGGACAGCGGACTGGAGGAATCGCTTAGGCAAGTGGTGATTCGGAGTTCAATAAAGACAGCAGGGATGACAAATCCGTGGGAGCTCATGGGATGAGAGGGAGGAGGGCAGAGCCTGGGGGGAATGCCACGAGTGGGACATGAGCCACCAGCGGGGGTGAGGAGCAGCCAGGCAAGGAGAGCCACGGGAGAGGGGTCACGAAAAACCAAGGAGAGCGTATGCAGGAGGGGGATGGTCAGAAGAATGTGGGCTGAGGAAAGCCGGGGAGCTCACCAAGTAGGGTAATAATCTTGGAAAGAATCATCTTCGCTGAGTGGGAAAGGGGGAGAGGTGAGTCAAAGTGGACATGGTCAATCTACATGGTTGATTTTTAGGAACTCGGCTGTGACAGGGAGAGGAGATGAAGATGGCAGCCTGAGGAGGTGGCAGGGCTAGGGGAAGGTACATGTTGTTTCTAAGGACGGAGGAGGACTTGGACATTTGTAGGCAGCAGGAAGGAAGAAATCAAGATTTCTGAGAAAGAAGGAACGTTCAAAGGGGATGAGATGAGGGATCAGTCTTGGGAGAGTGAGAGGCAGAGCTGCACAAAGTTGGCCTCGATCTCTCTTTCTGAGCCATCAGAGTCCAGCGACAAGACTGGATGACTGGTGACCGCCCGGGATGTCCGACCATGCTCTGCTATGATGCCTGCTTCAGCCGCCTTCATGGCCCATTAGAACAAACAGTTCACATCTGCCCATTGGGCCAGCAGGGCAGTCTTCACATGCTTGGGGCAGACATCTCCCCAACTCACCAACGGTTTGAGGCCTCAAACCTGGTTTAGCCTGGTTTAGCCGTCTGCCAAGATGGATCTCCTGGGGCGTGGCCACACTGCACATGCTACAGCTTCTTGGAGCCATGGGTGAGGTGGCCACCTAAGGTGGATGAAGGGCCTTGAAAGGGGTTTGGCAAGCCCTCACACCCAGAGGTACTAGTCCTCCTTGAACATCCCATACACCCCTGACACCCAGCAGGAGCCCCGAGAAGAAGGGTCCAAGGAACTAAGGCAGGACTCCCAACGAGTTCCTTTTCTAAGGCTTCTCCATACCACAAACGCCATGGCGCTGTCTCCAGACAAGACAGGAAACAATCCTTACGCCTTTGTGGAGTTCAGACTGTGAGCTTCTTGAGGGCAGGGGCCACATTTCTGAATTTCCCAGCACATAGCAAGTGCTTACTAAATGCTTTCCCTTTTATTTATGTACTGCCTACGACCAGTTCCTGGGGTGGAAACCAAGGTCAGAAAAAACAGACTTGTGGATGCAGCCCAGAAATAACCCACCATCAAAGTGGGATCTGAGGGGCTGATGATGACGTTTAAGTCTCATGGGCTTCTAAAGCCATGTGGAGATGTGGGGAGGGGAGTTCCAGGTCCCAAGATCCATGACAGACATGAAAGAGGCTTCTGGGGAACAACGAGGGGCCTTGTGTTGCTGAATGTCAGGGCATAAGGTGAGGCTAGCAGTGAGGTTTGGGTGGATCTTCGAGGCCAAAGGATTCTGAGGGTTATTCCGTAGGCAAAGGTTATTCTGTAGACTGCTGTTTAAGGAAGATTAGACCAGCAACGTGAGGCACAGACTGGAGGGGAAAGATGGAGGGCAGGCCAGAAAGGAGACGCTATTCAGCAGTATCACCGAGATGAGGGAGGGAGGCCCATTGTGGGACACTGGCAGAGACAGGGAGACTCGGTAGCTGACTGGACATGAAAGGTGAAGGAGAGGGGGTGTTTCTGTGTCCCCAGCACTGAACATAGTCCCTGGCACTTATTAAACGCTCACTAAAGGCTTGACTGGTCCCTAGGCATGAACTTGATAACTCTCTAAAAGTACAAAGGGGTCCTATTCCTTGAGTTTCCCCAGCTGCTTAGGCCACCTTGTCCCTTCTCCAAGGAGTGAATGAGATTCTCAAAAGGGAGAGCAAGTAGAGAAAAGGACCAAGGATAGAATCTCAGGGGATGCCAAACTTTGGGGGCACGAATAAGACAAGGAACCAGGAAGAGACCAAGACGGAGCAGTTAACGGCAAGGGAGGAGAGGACAACAATGTCAACTGCTGAAGAGGAGGAAAGGAAGATGAGGAACCCTTCCAAAAAAAAAAAAAAAACCAAAACCAACGTACTGAGTGATCAGAATATCAATGAAGACTCTTTTAAAGTAATTTCAGCAAAGGGGTTGAGAAAGAAACCAGGGGTAAAGGATCTGGTTTTGGCTAGGTCTGATTAGTCTGAAGGCAGGTGGGTAGAGGCAGAGGAGGGGTGGGAAGGGAGAGGGAGAGGACCTTCCTAATGCCTGGAGTAAAGTCCTCAGAGAAGAAGAGCCTTAGGTGTAGTGGGTGATTTGGCTTCAGCAAGGAGGGTGAATACTTCCTCTGTGTTAGAAGGGAAGGTGAAGAGCGAGGATAATGCTTTTGAAGATGCCTGAGGAGTGGTTTTGAGGAAACAAGTGCCTGTCAG